AGCAAATGCCCATCTTTCCTGTAAGTCTGGAGCCAAGGGAGCAATGTTTCCTTCTCTGAGTGGAACAAGGAAGAGGAAGAGGAAGGCCGGGCTCCAGTTGTTACCTACTTTCATCCTGGTTCTTCTTCCCTGTTCTGTCCTTCCAGGAGCAGACTTGGTCAACTCAGGGGGAAGTGAAGAGGTGGCTCAATGGCATCTTTCACTTCAGCATCCTTTCCTCCAACTCTAGTTGTTTAGACTATGATTCAAATACCCTTTGATGGAAGGAATACATGCTATTTGTTTTGTATCTCAAAGGCACAACAAAATCCTCTCTCTAATCCTGCTTTGCTAATGTTGGAGTTTGACACTCAATTCTAAATGGCAGAGCAGAAGTGACTGTTTGACTGATCTCATTTTCCATGGAGGCACAGAATCCTGGGTTTGGAATGACCTCAGCATTCTTTCCTTCACTCACTGAAGAAATCTGTTGTCCACAGTCTAGAAGGTTCTCCAGTATGCTTAGTTAACTTTGGCAGAGGGGAGCTCATTTCTTCACAAGGTAGCTAGCCGCTTTTTCTGACATGAACTCAGAGGCTGGTTCTTTGACCACCTTCTCCTGGGGGCAGGGCAGCCTTAAAAGGCCACAGAGGAAGACAATGCAGCCAGTCCTTAGGAGACCTGATAGGCTAGGGTTATATAGAAGAGGAGGAGGAATCCCTTATCAGTGGACTAGGGGAGGGTCAAGGGAGAAGAGGGATGGAGGGCAGGATTGGGAGGGCGAGAGGGAGGGGGCTGTAGCTGGGATACAAAGTGAATAAATTGTAACAAATAAAAATAAAAAATAAAAAAATCCTGGGAAAAAAGAAATATGAATTCCTGCCCCCCAGAGATGACCCTTTGTCTTTCTTCTTGGCTTTGCCATTGAGTTGGAAAGAGACAGCTGCCTTTGTTGGCTCTCTATATTGTGGTCTCTTTGGTTTGCAATATAATAGGACCTGTTTTCCCCACACTTTGTCTACTTCACAGGGGTCACTCTTACTAAAGTCACCAGTGGCTTCTTCTTGTAACTCCAGTAGCTACCGTTAGTGCTCATCTGAACACAGTTAGCCACGTCCTCTCTGAATGAGTCCCCTCTTCCAAGAAAAGGGCTCACTCCCCACCACGTCTTCACCCCTTTCTTTCCTCAGTCATCATAGCCACCTGGTTCTATCCTTGAACTTTTCTTCTTCTCAGGCTTTACCTGCTTACACAGGGCATAATCCTCTACACACTGATGTTTTCAATGAGCATGTTTGGTCTCTTCTTTCTCACAACTTCTAGAATTCTCCATGAGAAGAAACTCAAGCTTGTCCCAAGAAAGGATCTCTTCCACTGTTCTCTCTGTGTGTATGTGTCTGAGAGAGAGAGAGAGAGAGAGAGAGAGAGAGAGAGAGAGGTGTGAATATGTGTATGGGTGTTGTGTGTATTTGTGGAGGTCTAAGGTGGCCTCTGTCTGAATCTGGAGCTCAGCAATTCCAGCTAGTATAGCTAGTCAATTTGCCCTGAGGACAGTCTGTGCCTCCTGAGTGCTGGGATTATAGGTGGCTGCCATATTTACAAGGCATTTGTGTAGCTTCTGGGCATTGGAACTCAGCTCTTTACAATTGTATGGAAAAGTATTGTACCCACTGCATCACCTTCCCAATAACCAAACTCTCTGTTTTGAAGATGGGTCCCATCATCTAATCCAGAACAAGACATTTCGTGGTCACATTCCCTCTCATCTTAGAGGTCAATCTCACTGAGACCTGCAAACTCAGTTCCACCTCCAAATTCCTCCTGTGAACCCTCATTCTGCTTCACTGGGTTGACAGTTTGCTAAATGGTCTCTTTACTCTTGGCCCTACTGTATCTTATCCACATACACTTGGTTATGAACACAGAATGGAGTTTCTAAAACAGTCTAGTCTTTCAGATATATGTTCAACAGCTTTCAGAGGCTCCTTGTTGCCTCCAAGATAGAACTCATTTTTATCCACTTGTATTTCTAGTGACCAGCAGGGCTCCATTTGCCTTCTTTTTTGGATGTTTTCTTCTCCCCTCTTTTCTTCTCTTTGTTCTGGATAAGGCTTATGACATTGATATGCTCATGTTCTTTGCTCCCATTGGTTTATAGCTACCCTACTGTTTCTCCCACCCCATGTATCTTTCAGAAACCCACTGGTTAACTGGTGTTCGTTCAGTGGTCATTACTCTGCTGATAGCAAGGCTGCAGGGAGGTATCTCTGCCCTGACCTCACAGGCAAGAGATGTGTAGCTTTTTAATGCCCTGAGGAAATCTGCACTTACCATTCATTTACATAATTGTACTTGCTAATTACTTGCTGCTAATTCCTTTCTCTACCCCAGTAGACTCCAAGCTCCTTGAAGGGTAGGTTTCTGCTTCCTTTCTTGTTCAAAACTGAACACCTAGTGCCCAACACTGGTGTGCTCAGCCAACACTTGCTGCCTAATGGAGTGACTGAAGAATGTCCGGATGTCAGGGCCAGTGGGATCTTGATTATGTAACACAGCTATGGGAGTGTTGTATGGTAGTGATCAAATTGATGGCTTAGGTTTAGGGAGGTTGTCAGGGGGGTTGCATGCAGAAGGAGTAGGCATGGGGCTTTCTGGGACTTGGGCTAGGGTACCTTTTCTATTCCCATCTCATATGCTTCCCGTGGAGTCTGGGAGATAGAGGTGAGTCACGCAAAACTGAAAAACAAACAAACAAAAAAACAAAAACAACAACAACAAAAAAAACCAACCAACCAAATCCAAGAATGGGTTTATAATAAACCTGTCATGAAACTGTGAAGTTACCTCACCTTACTCTGGGGAGGTGCTCATGCAGTCCGTTTTCTAAATCTGTTCTGATTGCTTTCCTTGGTTCTTGCCCCCTCCCCCAAAGGTTGAGTATGAAAGAGGATGATCTCTGTTTGGGATGATGCTCTCATCTGATTGGAAGCTGCCTTGTCATTATTATTATTAATCTCTGAAATACATGCACAGCTTGCTTTCTGTAACTTGTCTGGAGGTTTTGCCCCCTACAAAGAAAAAAATTACAGCTGGAAGAGTCCAAAAACTGACTATGTTTTTAAAAGTTCAGACTGGCTAAATTGGTAGCTTATTCCAACTCTAATTTCTGGGCTAGGAACAAAGAGTACCCTCACATGGCTGTCTTGCCTGACCCATGCTCTCCAGCACAGTGATGAGCAGGGGTGTGCTGTTTTGCTCTTTGTTATCCCGGGTTCTGGCCCATCTCTCTAAAGAAATCTTATAAATCATTGATGAGAATATTTCTATTTCTGTCTTAAATATCCCAGCCAAGAAGCCTCATGAACACTTTCCAAATCAAAAGCTGGCATATTGCACGATGCTTCCTCATTGATGGCAGGCTCATTTCATTGTTTTTTTTTCACTTTTGGCTCTGCTGTTGGTGGCAACAATGCCAACTCCCAGCCTGAGGGTGTGGAGGCAGGGCTGATTCTGAGACTGAACTCTGTGTGGCCTTTCCCTCTTTCCTGCTGTCTGTCATGCACTCCTCTTCCTAGCTGAAATTATAACTCGGGTTTGTTTTCAGGAAGGCTTGTTCCTCCCAGCTTTCTGTCTCTGCAACCCTCATGCCACTCTGTGCCTAGAAATTGAACTCACTTGACTACCAGCCTCCATTTGAACATATAAGGTTCAGAGGAAAAGAGGACCAATCACATGACACATGCCAAATATCATTTGTCATAAAGGCCGTGTCCCATTTGTTCCCCACTATATTGGCATTAGCAAGGGGTTGTAAATGGCACAAGACAAACAATCCATAGCAGAGCTGAGTGACTGAGTGAAACAGAAGGTCTAAAGGATTCGATACATTACATGCATGTTAGGTCTCTTCCACTCCCAAAACTCTCTGGATTGTTACCCGAAGGTGGTTTAATACAGAGTTTTTGGAGACTTGAAAATTACGTCTTATTGAGAAGGTAATATGAAGTGAATCTCTTTTTCCCTGATGGCCTCCAGCTTGTTGGGTTTGTCTCTCATTTTGGCATCTCAGCTTTCATATAAGTACTTTATATTACCTGTCCTTCGCTTACAAATTATTTACTTTAGTATGAGCTCACTAATCCCAGTAAGTCTTGTTTTCCAGACCAGAATAGAAATACATGGAGGAAAAAAAAATGTGTCCATTAAATTTGTAGTCAAACTGTGCAGACTCCATTCGGGAGGCATTTAGGTAAAGGGTTTCTAACAGCTCGCTGAAAGGCCACGGCTTGAGTTTGAGACTATTTTCATTTTTATCTTTTAGTTTTGCACACACATACACATACACGTGCACATTTGCCCCCCTGAATGTGTGGAGTGTCGGAGGACAACTTGTAGGATTTGGTTCTCCCTTTCTTCTATGTGGGTGCTAGGGGTTGACTTTAGGTTGTCAGGCCTGGTAGCAAGTGACTTTTCCATGGAGCTCTCTGGTAGGCCTCTGCTTTTACTTTTAATATTAGAGGTTAAAACGAGAGTGCAAGAATTAATAAACAGCATATTTTCAACAACTCTTTTTTAAAGATCACAGTTTTTATAGTCCTTGTCTGACAACACGAAGTGTTATGGATTTACACACCTTGTTTAATTGCATAGGTATGCAGCAGAAAAATGTTAGATAAATCACAATTGTCCAGGAGACAGGGCGATTTTTGTTATGTCTTTGCAACAGTTAGATGCTTTAGAGAACTCATCCTTTGGTATTTTGATGACTGTGGAGATGGTGTACTTTCTTTGTGGTAACTTATGTGCCAATGGGAAGTGATCATGGAGAACAGTGGAATTGCCCACTGGTCCCAAACTGTCTGGATTGAAAGGCAGCAGGACCAATGATATACCATCCTTCCATGAGTGCCATACTGTCTGCACCAAAGAGCAGATGGTGCCAGGGGCGGTGGGTGTATCCCTTTACTTCAAGGCCAAATCCAAACACCTGGATGCACTTTGTTCCCAGATGAGCTGCTTCTCCTGAGGGACTGACTCTCACCTACTGCATAAGGTGGCATTTAGACTGAGCGTTGAAGGAGAACGCTGATCTTAGGAGCCAGGATTGTGCCTGATACCTAAAAAGTGTTCAGCAAGTGCTGCTGGCAACCTAAGAAGAGACTTGTGTTCCCGGCAGACGGAAAGAGTGAGACGGTGGAAGCGGGAGGATCAAGCTCATTTCGGATGTGGTGAGTCAGATTCTGGGAGCTCAGCACAAGCCTGAGGTGTCTGAGCCAGCATCTGCGTGTGGACAGATCTGGTTGGCTGGATGGTGGCTGAGTGTGAACGTCCTTGAATTGAGCTGAGGATTTCAGACTTTAATCGGAAGGTGGTGGAAATCCCTGAATGTGCTGGAGCAAAGACAAGGCACGATCTAATGTTGGTGGGAGGCTGTGTGGGGTGGAAAGGGCTGGGAGCAGAGTAAGCCTCGTGAAGCTATTGCTGACAATTGACTTGTCAGCAGCAGAGTCATGAAGCACAGGAGTAGCTGTGAGCCGCAGAGGGGCTTTGTGGGGACAGAAAGGGAAGTTCTGGGGGCTCCCTTCATGACATTTCTTTCCTGGAAGCCCCCGCTTCTCCTTGCCCTCTTCTGATAATCTGTGTTCCATAATATCAGCCCTTCAGGGGGTCTTGGCCCCTACATCTCCCTCCGGAGGACACGCTCATTCAGAGGCAGGATTGGCTTGAGGCTGGAGTGTGTGGATGAATTTGTTAAGATCCTTATTTATTTATGAGTTGTTATTTGATGTCTTCCTTAGGTTCGAAACAGTTTGAGTTACACAGTGTGATTGTATGTCCACGTGCGCTTTCCCACCCAATGGGCCTACAGTTTCACAGGCAGTGAGAAGAAAGGCTACAGAATAGGCTACCTGGCTGTGAGCCTGACTCTTTCACCTGCGGGATACATGCCAACAGCCAGTTTCTCATCTGCCTGGGGCCTCAGAGTCCACACCTGTGGAGCTGGGATGAGCCTAGCCTACTCGTGGTTTTATTGTCTGGGTTAAATAAGATCACACCTGTTGTGTGCTTGGTATAGTGCCCTGAGCACCAGAAGCAGCCAAGTACTGTCAGTCCATACCACTATTGTTGTTAGTGCTTCTTCAGGCGTTAGTGGTTGGGGTGGGCATCCTACCTTTCTTAATCCCTTGTGGGCCCAGACTGTGTGGCCACTTGCATTTTTCCCAGCACATGTCTTCCTGTCAGTCCTGACCACCTTACCAGCTGGTAGCTGATACAAGTACCTACATTTACATTTGAGACAAATTCATTAGCGTTCTCCTATAAAGACCTGGAAGACAACCCAAGACCTATCCTTTGCCCTCAGGGAATCCCTTTGGGGGAGGGGCAGTAGAGTGTCCTAATGGGAGAGCCAAGACAGTGAGGCAATGATTGGTATTTAAGAGCCCAGGCCAGGTGTGTGCTTATTGGGAGCAACAGCTCTGCCAGGGTAGTAGAGTGGTGGGAATGGATTTCGGGACTCTCCCTGGGCAGCTCCCTGACAGCTTGCCTATCATCCTTAGCCAAGGGAAGGAGATGTGGTTTAGAGGTGACACCTTGAATGGATGGAATCAGAAAGTCACTGACATTGAACATCTCTTTTCAAAGCCAAGCAAAACAAACAAACAAACAAACAAACAAACAAAGAAACAAGCAAGCAAATGAAATATTGAACACAAGTGTCTGAGTGTGTGAATGGTGTGGTGTCACAGCACAGGCACGTATCCCCACTGAAGAGGAAGCTGGAAGTGTTGGGGACACATCAGTCAGGAGATTTGCTGCTCCAGTGCATGTCACTGTAAAAATCAGTCATAAATAAGGCAGAACTTATAACTTATCCTGAGGGATTTAGAAGTTTAAACCAGGACAAAGTTTAATTTGAAAAGTTGCTGTGTTCTTAAATACTTTACTGTGTTCCAACAAAAAGTACCCGTAGGCCTTAGAGCCTAGCAGTGGAAGGGTCAGGCAGGGACCCTGCTCAGGAAACCACTTTCAGAATCAAGTTCCCCTGGTGTCAGATCAAACATGTAATGAAGATGGAAGTTGATTCTCACTTCCGTTATTTTTTTTTATTTAATTTAATTTTTTTCTTATCAGTTACATTTTATTAACTCTGTATCCCAGCTGTGTCCTGCTCCCTCATTCCCTCCCAATCCCACCCTCCCTCCCTCATCTCCACCGTGCCCCTTTCCAAGTTCACTAATGGGGGGGACCTCCTCCCCATTCATCCAATCCTGCTTTATCAGGTATCTTCAGGACTGGCTGCAAAGCCCTCCTCTGTGGCCTAGCAGGACTGCTCCTTCCTTGGGGGGTGGGGAGGTCAAAGACCAGTCATTGAGTTCCTGTTAGAAATAGTCCTTGTTCCCCTCACTATGGGAAACCAATTGGTTACTGAGCTACCACAGACTACATCTGAGCAGAGATTCTAGGTTACATTCATACATGGTCCTTGGTTGAATGACAGTCTCTGAGAAGACCCTGTGCCTAGATATGTTTGGTCCTTGTGGAGCTCCTATTCTTTCCACACCATACTAACTCCCCTTCTTTCATATGATTCCCTGTACTCTGCCAAAGGTTTGGTCATGAGTCTTTGTATCTGCTTTGAAAACACTGCTAGTTAGAGTCTTTCAGATGCACTCAATAGACTCCTGTCATACGTTCAATGCACATCCCATCTGTCTTTCTAAACGAGGATTGATAATCTTACCCCATATCCACTCTCTTGATAATCTTTTTTAGGTGTATAGATTTCATTATGTTTGTCATATCTTATAGGTCCATATAAATGAGTATATACTGTGTTTGTCTTTCTCCTTCTGGGATATTTCACTCAGAATGATCTTTTCTAGATCCCACCATTTGCCTGCAAATTTCATGATTTCCTCCTTTTTGATTGCTGAGTAGTATTCCATTGTGTAAACATACCACAATTTCTGTACCCATTCCTCCATTGATGGACATCTGGGTTATTTCCAGGTTCTGGCTATTACAAATAAAGCTGCTATAAACATGGTTGAGTAAGTATCCCTTTTATGTACTTGAGCAAAGTTTGGGTATATACCTAGCAGTGGTATAGCTGGGTCTTGAGGAAGCACTATTCCTAATTGTCTGAGAAAGCACCAGATAGATTTCCAGAGTGGTTATACCAGTTTACATTCCCACCAGCAGTGGAGGAGGGTTCCCCTTTCTCCACAACCTCTCCAGCATGTGTTGTCACTTGAGTTTTTCATCTTGGCCATTCTGATGGGTGTAAGGTGAAATCTCAGGGTCATTTTGATTTGCATTTCCCTGATGGCTAATGAGGTTGAGCATTTCTTTAAGTGTTTCTCTGCCATTCAATATTCCTTTGTCGAGAATTCTCTGTTTAGCTCTGTTCCCCATGTTTTAATTGGATTACTTGGTTTGCTGCTTTTCAGCTTCTTTAGTTCTTTGTATATACTGGATATTAGTCCTTTGTCAGATAAAGGGTTAGTGAAGATTCATTCCCAATCTGTAGGCAGTCGTTTTGTTTTGATGACAGTGTCCTTTGCTTTACAGAAGCTTTTCAATTTCATGAGGTCCCATTTATTGATTGTTGCTCTTAGAGCCTGTGCTGTTGGTGTTCTGTTCAGGAAGTTGTCTCCTGTGCCAATGAGTTCTAGACTGTTCCCCATTTTTTCTTCTAACAGATTTAGAGTATCTGGTTTTATGTTGAGGTCTTTGACCCACTTGGACTTTAGTTTTGTGCAGGGTGATAAATATGGATCTATTTTCATTTTTCTGCATGTAGACATCCAGTTGGACCAGCACCATTTGTTGAAGATGCTGTCTTTTTTCCATTGAATGGTTTTGGCTTCTTTGTCAAAAATTGAGTATTCATAGGTGTGTGGGTTTATTTCTGGGTCTTCTATGCGGTTCCATTGATCCTCCTTTCTGTTTTTATGCCGATACCATGCAGTTTTTTATTACTATTGCTCTGTAGTACAACTTGAGATCGGGGATGGAGATACCTCCAGATGATCTGTTGTTGTACAGGATTGTTTTGGAGATTCTGGGTTTTTTGTTTCTCCATATGAAGCTGAGAATCTTCTTCAAGGTCTGTAAAGAATTGAGTTGGTATTTTGATGGGGATTGCATTGAATCTATAGATTGCTTTTGGCAGGATGGCCATTTTCACAATGTTAATCCTACCAATCCATGAGCACGGGAGATCTTTCCATCTTCTGAGTTCTTCAATTTCTTTCTTCAGAGACTTGAAGTTTTTCTCAAACAGGTCTTTCACTTGCTTGGTTTCACTTCCGTTATTTCATGCACCGGATTCCATGTGCCTTTGAGTGTTTGTGTATTTGTGTGCATATGTGTGTGCACAAACTTGAGTGTGTTCCCATGTGCATTGGCATATGTGTGTACAAGAGTGCAGAAAACAGAGGTTGGTGTGGATATCTTCCTCAAGTGCTCTTCCCCTTTCCTTATCTACCAGGGCATTGTCTCTCACTTGAAACCAAAGCTTGCTGATTTGGCTGGTCTAAGGGGCTGGTCTCCACCCCCTGAAGCACTAGGATTACAGGGGCTACCATACCCACCTGGCATTTACATGGATGCTGGGGATTTGAATTCCTGCCCTGAAGCTTATACAGCAAGCACTTTTCCCATTGATCCATCTTCCCTGCCCTTAACTGGCATTCTTAAAATGAGAATGCATTCTTTGGAAACTTAACTGTGTTTTTCTGGTTAGATTTACTGATGAATCCTCTGGTCTGCAGATAGACTTAATTTTAATGAGCTGGAAAGAAGTAAGAAGCTAGCTACACTGGACTGTCTGGAAGTTTGGCCCAGGTGTCCTGGACTGAAACGAAGGCACTGCACAGTCTACATTTACCCCTAACTGCTTGCTTGAGCCATCTTGCACTTGAGTTTGCAGTCTTGAGCTGCTCCCCACGTCTCTGACAGCTCTTCCAATGATTGCTTAGTGGTGTGGTGTGCACCAGTCACAGCCAAGTTCTGAAAACCATAGTGGTTATGTCTAACCTGCTTTGAGCTTTCATAGTTTCCCACTGTATTTCCAAGTATGTCTGCAGTCCAGCAGCTAATGGACTTGGGCAGCAGATCAGGTGGGCTGTAGTTTTGGGTGGTATCAGGGAAGGGCTACATTTTAAACTAGGAAAACTGTCAACCTCAACAGGTGGCTTAGACAACGGTGCTAGAGTCCTGC